GCTGTTGCTTTTAGACTAAAGGCCTGAAGTATCAGGTACTGTGTGTTACCATTCCAGTTGACGCCGTCTTCCTCCGGCTCTTTTTTAAAGTACTTATGGGCTTAACCACTCAGCTCTCTCAGTACAAGTTATGACTGTTTAATCCCATCAACAACAGAGGATTGCTGTCAAAGTATCACTGAATTTGACAAATGACAGGAGGAGCACAACTGGGATTCCGTACAGAGGGGAAATGTTGATTCATGATTTCTGAAAACCCGACTTGGTAACTTCTTTCAAGCTTACAGGACTTTTTCTGACCAGATTAATCTTCCACGCTCTGAGTCAACTTTTCCTCAAGCAGCAACACCCGCAGCCTCGCTGAGGTATTACAGTCATTTCTCCACAGCATCAGTTAAGACGTGTTTTGTGATATCATGGGGAGTTTAGCTACTTTCTGAAGCTGTGGCCAGCCTTTTGGCTTCCACTTTTCTCGTCGCTGTCGGATGATGGAGTTCATAGCAGTTGAGTTTTACTGCAGTGAGCAGATAACACAAGCCACTGTCTAATTTATTTTACTTCTTGACAGTGTCCACAAGTGATTTATTGCTTCCTGCCACAGGCTGCTGATTGGGGCATTCCTGTTTAATGAAGAAACATTAGCATAAACAGCTACATGAGGACACCATCCTTGAGGTCACCCCTCTCCCGCCCACCTTGATTGGTGTGACTGTGTGCATCTGTGAGTGAGGTCTGAGAGGGTTGAACATTTAACATTTCTGCTGTGTGCGTGTGTGTGTGTGTGTGTGTGTGTGTGACCCTGACCACCACCCTGATACATAGGAGGAAATTATGAGTCTTATGATTTATGATCTGCTATGATTAAAGCTAATTCATGACGGAATACTAAAGTTTATCCAGTGTAATGAGTAATGCACAACAATACATATGCAGGATGTAATATGTTATTAATTGTATTCATTCTTTTCAACATGGAGGAATAAGAATTTGTTGTTCAAACACATAGTATCCCTACAACAGAACAGATGTCATGGCACTACCAAGTATGCACCAAAGTGGGTATGATAATGTACAGACAAGTCACAAATCAGTAGGGAGTCAAAGATCTGCGAAGCATAGAGTAAATACGGTTGTCGATGCAGCTTGGGAGATGTTGTTCCACTCTTCCTAAAGGGTTTGGAGATGCTAGTGAACATTTAGGGGGGCAGGGTTGTGTTGTCAGACATCCAGAACATCCCACAGATGTCTGACAGGTGCCACGTTTGGAGCACGTGCATGCACTTGGTAGGACTTGAATATTTTCAGCTGCTAGAAAGGTAGTGCAACAAGGTGGCAAGTGAGTGGGATGTGAGGATTTCATCTCACTGGGCATCGAATTTGCCATCGATGAAGCGCAGTCATGTTCTTTGTCCATAGCATATCCCTGCCCATACCATCCCGCCTTCATCTCCATGATCTACTGTCGGAATGACATTGACTTGTGCATAACGTTCCCCTGTACGTCGGCTAACCCAACATCTACCATCTGCTCTGTTCAGCTGAAACGAGATTCATCAGTGAAAAAGGCTGTCCTCCATCTTGCTAGCGTCCAACAAACATGAGTGGTTGCCCACTGGAGCAGATTACAACGCCATCCTGCCGTTAGATCAAATATTTGGTTTGGGAAACAAGAACACAAACCATCTTCCCTAAAGCAACTCCTCGCGCTTTGAGCCGATATTCTCTGGTTGTGCACATCAACAATATCGTCAGCAGTCTCTGTAACTGATTACAAACAATTTTGCAGATGGATGAGCAGGATGTAACGATCCTGGGCTCAGGCGATGACATGTGGTCTGCAGTCGCGTGGCAGATTGTCTGGCGTACTATGTTGTCTGAAGCGACAACATTCAAGTACCTGGCTACGGTCCTAACTGACATGCCAGCATCCAACATGCCAACAGCTTGTTCTCGTCTTTCTCTTGTCATCTGAATAAAGCTGCATTTTAAAGTGGCCTTTTATAGTCACTGGACAAAGGAGCATCTGTGTGCTGGTCACACTGTGTGATTGTTGTCTTTTAAAGCCACATTTGACTAGTGTGTGGATTAGGTCAGTGGTTGAGAATTTGTTACTAGTTAAAAAGCTCAAAAACCTTTTCTACACAATTTGCTGAAGTTAACCCTTTCACACCAGAACAGTAAAAATTTTAACTCAGAAAAGTCAGAAAAGCAAAACCATTTGCATGCTGTTTATATTTGTGTTCAGTGTACATGATCAGCAGTGCTCATTCTCTAGTAGTTGTACTTGACTGTGTAGTTTGGAAATTCAGAAATCACTCGTTCACAGATTAGAACAACCCAAAAGAGATCTGTTTGAATACTAGATGGTTCGGACAGTCACCTCTAATCACAGGTAGATACTCAGTCTTCTCAGCAGACTCAGTTTAAACTCAGCAAAGAAAGGCCTAGACAACAATAACTCAGGAACAATAATAAAGATAATGACGGGAATCTAAATGTTGTGAATTATAGCAGAGTTTACTACAGCATAAAGGAAACATCACAAAATTTAGTGTCGTCCAATACAGCATCACCCCAAGAATAGAGTTTTAATGATTATTACAGAGTTGTAAAAACACATTTGTGACTATGTTGAAGCAATTAAAATAATTTCACAAAAAAATGGTGCCCCAGTTAAACAGATTACTTTTGCTTTTTTTTTGTCATTACAGTATCTGGACATTCTATTTTGAAGACACTTTTTACCACAAAGTGTTAAAAGGTAATAAAGTATCTTGACATATTTGCTTTTTAGTAAATTAGCAGGTCTAGATAGAGTCAATGTAATTTCCTGGACTACGAGTTCCGGATACATTTTGATTGTGCCTTCGCGGCTGCCGTACCTGTGTGTAAACGTGAATCACACCGCTCAGTGTTTACTATTCCACTAACCACGAAAGCTAGGCTAAGAAATGGCTGAATATTCACACGTTAAGTCAACCAAATTGGTTTTGAAAGGTCTTAACAAAGGGTAAGTGTTTACCTTCCTTAGTAGCATCACGACATGACAGCTGCAGCATCGTTAATCAGAGATAACTCTCAGGTTTAGCCTACATGCTAGGCTAGGCTACAACGTTGATGTCTCGAATAACATTTGCAACAGCGTTCGTTCACAGCTCTACGTGTCTATTAAGACGTACCAGTTTTTACTGATAATCAGCCAACTAACAATACAGTAACTAAGAATAACTTCTGTAGACTTTGAAGTGTAATTGTCAGTTTGAGAGTAGCTAACATGTTAGCATTTTGCTCGCTAACGCTTATAGTTAATATTTCAAATTCGCAAGATGCTGTTCAAAAGTGACTTAAGCAGCATCAAAAGCCTCATAAACCATACATAATGTTGAAACAGCAACGTCTGTAAAGTGCTAAATAATGACATGACAGTAAAATAATGGTACAAGATGTCGAAGGAAATCTTAAGTTGCGTCGTTGTCCTAAACTTTATTTATTTTGTTGTAACAACAGCAAAGATAAACATGTTTTTCAATTCATTCATTTCAACTGAACAAAAACGAAGCTGAGAATTTAGCACAACCACAGTGATTTATAACATCCATATTATGGAAACAAACCCCAAACAGTGTCCCCTGATTAACGTCGTATCACTCCTTTAACCTGAATGTAGCCAAGACTAACAGCTGTTGTGATGTAAATGTAGAAGGACTATTTTGTTTTTGTTGTTGGACATAGAGAACAGAACCTCATGAAGTCTAGTAAAACATTCACAGAAATAACTGCCCCAAAAGCACTAACAGCAGTGTGTAGAAATTAGATTACATGCATTTACCTCCTTTAAAAGAAAAAAACAAAATCAACTGCATGGACTACTATGTCAAACTATGAATGGAAAACGGCATTTTTTGTCATACAGTATAGCTGCGAACCAGTCTTGTATGATGTTGATATTTTGTGCATTCCTTATTAGTATTTTTTTAAGGGCCAAAAACTAGTGCTTATAACTTTTATTCATATTGAAAACTACATTAAAAAAAATCACTGATTTGAGTCTTGCTACTGCCTTTCAAGGAATTTGTATTTGGAATGTGTGGATGTATGTATGGTCTAATTAACTGTTTAGCCACATAACTACACGTGGAGTTGTTTTTTTGACATAGATATATATTTTTCAACAGGAAAAAGAGGAAACACAAAGACAAGAAAAGAAAAGCAGATGATGAGGAAAAGGTTGATGTTGTTGGTAGGTACATCTACTGAATTAAACTAAAAGAACCATCTCAAGACATTTTCTATAGGATATTTAATCCATCCACTTAGCAGCATTGTTGTAGCATGGAGAAAGCTGGGATGAGTTAGACAAGTGACAAAATGTCTTTCCTTTCTGTTAGAACTCTTTATTATGTGTACTAGAAGTAGTTTTAGAACTTCTCTGTTTTGAATATTAAAAGAAGAAATCAAAGAGATTTGATCAAATAAAATAAATAAAAAAATACAATAAAATATCAGCCAGTATTAACATTAAAGATATTTCTGGGTTTTTATATGACTAAACAAATTAAATGAATATTTACATTTACATGTGAGAGTTTGACACTTTTGAAGAGTAAACACCTCATACAAACTCGTAATGTCTGAAATGGTTTCAGGTCATTTTTTTTTCTATATCAGCCCTTAACTCATGACATGTGTTTTATATCTACAGGTTGCTCAGAGTGGATGTTGTCCAAACTTGTGCATGTATTATTTCACCTCTTACGTGCGTCTCTCTGCTCACTAGGTGGTTGGTGGTCTGTTGGTAGCTTTGGGGAGATTACCGGAACAGTTGCCATAGAGATGCAGAACAACTCGTACATCCATGCCCTGGACACTGGGCTCTTCACAGTTGGTGCGCCACACAAAGGTAAGAGTGGTACCTCAAGTTAGGGCCAAGTTATTTAGGATATCCAGCTTTTCATCAACTATGAATTCTATGTTTCTGAGCTGTGTGCAAGAACACTTATGCTCCTGCCCATGATTTTCTGCTTTTGTTACACTTCAACAGTAAGATCAACTCTCATAGGAACTATGATTTTGTATGTGCATTCTTTTGTTACTCGTAGGTTAATTTGTATTGTTTGGCACTAACTAGTGTACTAGTGTAGTATACATTTTCACAGAAAAAACATTAGTGACTCATAGTGCACAATTGCATATTTCTGTAGTTTTTCAAAGTAATGCGATGTAATAGAACATGAACTAATCCTCTGACTCTAGGATGAGGGGTTGGTTAGACATTGTGTTACACTGCCTTCCAGTTGATTATAGTGGGGTGTTGTATTATTGTTTTATTTAAAAAAAAAAAAAAAAAAAAGGCATTCTTAACTATTTTAATTGCCAACTAGTAAATTTACTCTTTGGAGTCTTTGTTATATACTATTTAAGTGTGCAAATTAATCATCAGCTGTTACTTTTACTACAACAACAGATTTGCTTTTTGTCATTTACTGGTCTCAGCTTCCCAAATGTGAAGATGGTTGTCTTTTTTTATAATTAATAGTGGACTCAAAATCTTTGTTAAACTATTATCTGACATTTAGAGTTAAAACTATTTCTTTGAGAAATCAAAAAAACAAAAACAATGGGCAGTTCTTTAGTTACAGCCCTTGTGTCAAAATTGGAACAAATGTAGATAATTTTATATATAATTGTGCGTACAAATTCTATGTTGTGATATATATTGATATGAATGTAGTGATTTGAGTGATGAGTTTGTATTGTATATGAAGTACAGACTGAAAGAAGTGGGACTTTGCTTGGGTGAAATTGCGAAGCAGGAGTATAATGCAAAAATAGCACCATGTAGGATGGAAGGATGGAAGGTTTTCAGTTTGGCTGTATTTTAAATGAAGATCCAAAGTCTACAGCTGTTCACTTATCCCACAGTTGTACAAACTTGAAGAACTTTTAATTTCGGGGTTACATTTACTGTAGGCTCTAGGCGTTATTGGGATGAAGGAAGGGTTTTGCCTTCAGTCCACAAAGCAGTAAGTATTTAAGTAGAAAATCCAGACACCAGACTGAAAAAGCTGAAGAGGGGTTGAGTTGAGGAGAAGGGTAGAGATAGCTCTGAGTTTTCACTTATTTCTGCCTTTAGGCACTTCTGAGGGAGCGTTGCTCATTGAAACAGGCACAGACACCACTGACAATTAATTCAGCACACGTTTAGCGAGAACCAGTGAAAGTGGCTGGCAGATTGAAACATCCCAATTGCCTGTGCATGCACATAAGCCCATTTCTAGGAGATAAAAGAGGATACGAGGCAGCAGTACAGAAGATTTGTGATTTCCTCTCTTTTTCTGGAGTTTCTGCACAGACGCCACACTGTGAATGATACGCGAGGTTTGGCTTTTAAATAATGAAACCAATGGTGTTATTCAATTTTATTTATTTATGAGCAGATTGAAACTTTAGAAAGTTCTTCATGCTTGCTCATTGGTCAATACATACCACGACCAATGGGCACACTGTAGGTCGACTAACATAAGCCATCTGGTTGTTCAACAGCCGGACCTCGTGAGCTTTTAGAGAGCAGCATAAATTCTCACATTCACCTGCAGGTCAAAGGAAATGTGCTGATCTTCTGTTGGCCAACTCCGAGCATCGCAGTCTATTCCAAAGATAATTAGCCTTTTAAGAAAGCAGTTTATGTCGCATTTAACCTCTGCTTCATTAAAGCTTTTCTCGTTAAGATCTCAGACTTCTTTGCCAACGTGAAGCGCTACACGTTTCACAAAGCTTTGATTTATTGTAAAGGTCTTGAAGTGGCTTAATCCTCACCAGGTCAGAGTTTTATGAAGTCATGAGAACCTTCGGAGACCTCAGTATGTAATAAAGCATTTAAATTCAACTCAACAGTGCCGGCCATGTGTTATCATAAATGTGTCAGTGCTGGTGAACTGGACCCACATTAGCACAGCATAGCCAGAGGGTTTGCAACATTAATTACAAGAATGCATAAGTAAAGCATAAAGCAGGTTTCAGGGATAAACTTGTTATGAGAAGAAATGATGCACATTCTGACTGCTGGGTGGACAAAGGCTTTTTCTGTCAGAGTAGAAAGATCAGTGTCCATCATAGGGGTTACAGGTCAAACATTTTGCATCAGTAAATGCAAAAACCAAGTTGATCTTAGACTCGCAGCAACACTTTATATTTTAACAGGTAGTCAGGAGTCTAGTAAGTCAGTCTTTTTTTGCATTGGCACCTTGTGTACACATGACCATAAAAGCAGGGCAAAAAGTGCTGCATTTGGACATTAAATTTACAAACTACAAAGGATAAGAGGGGTTTTTTTTTTGTTAAAGCATATCAGGTAAACAGTAAAACACTAACAGTTTGAAATACAGCACTGACAACTGTAAACTCTTTAGAGGGTAAACATTGCTTTATGTGTTTCAGATGATGAAGGACCAGACCCTCCAGAGCAGTTTACTGCCATCAAGCTCTCAGACGCACGGTGAGTACGCAAAGACAAACTGTGCATCGTATTTGTATCTTTCACCAACGGATTTATTGCCCCATTTCTGCATATTTTTTTTTTTTTTTTTTTTTATTAAGGATCTTTTTTTGTTGTCTAGATGTACACGAGTAATTTACTAACCTGTGGGCGATCAATCCTTGAAGATGTGCTGCCTGTTACAGAATTATTTCTTCTGCATTAGTTTCAGTGATGGATCTTAGATTCATACACTAATGTTATTGAACCTTTCTTGTCATGAAGAAGAACTCTCTAGGAAAAGGTAATGTGTTTTGAATATTAGATCAGTCCTTCGAAGAGACTCATTTGTTACTTCTTGCTGTTGCAGGGTTGCCTTGAAATCTGGATATGGGAAGTACCTGGGCATCAACTCTGAGGGTTTGGTGGTGGGACGCTCTGATGCCATCGGCGCCAGGGAACAATGGGAACCAGTCTTCCAGGATGTGAGTAAATCTGGAGATGTGTCTTCTACTAATCTGTGTAGGCGGCCAGTTCAATATCCAAACTTGAATGTTATTTATAGTGCAAGCATTGGAGGACCTGGAGCAATGGATGACAGGGTAAAATAAATGAAAACTTCGAAACAGCGTTCTTTTTTCTTTCTTCATGTCGCATTCTTGTCCCACGACTTTTGTTGTTGCAAATTCTCGTTTTTCCAATCCCATGTAATTATCCCCACATTAGAGTTGATACCCAAAGAATCTCTGTAGAACTAAATAAGACAGTGCTTTTAAGTGTTAGCATGATGCCTTTATTGGACCCCACTAGAGACTGGATGGGGTATTAACCACACTAACTGCTGAAGGCATCTTGATTAAAATAACAAAAATAATGGTTATATTATAGTTTTGTTTCTAATTGCCTTCATTATCACAGCGCCTGCCAGCACTTGAGGGACTCTGGTGTTTGTTTTTTCATTTGTGTGTGGCCCTTTAGTCCCTTTACTGTGTGGCTTCACAGTCTGAAGAGATATTTTGGTTAAATGTGTTTGGAAAAAAAATGCACTTCTGTTAGATTGTGTTGGCATTTTTCAAAAGAGTCGCGAAAGGCAGTAAACTTAATGAGCCCTTTTTATCGGTACACCATTACAGTGCAATGAGGTTTTCAGTCATTAAGTAGTACGTTTAAATTTGTGTCATTGTGTCAAGAATAGTTTTGAGTTGAACTTTTTAAAAGCACAACACTGTTGTCAGAGTGTGTTGACACATTTGAGAAATCTAACATATAGATACATACAGTATGTTAGTGTGTACCGCACATACCAGGTTGTGGTACAGGTAGAGCTGAAATCATAAACTGATCTAGTGTCACCCAGTGTCAGCTGCGATAGGCTCCAGCAACCCCCACCTCACTGATAAATGGTTGTTCTTTAATCAGCCTTCAAAGAAAAATGGTTGGAAAAGCTTCTCAGGTGTGACTAGTTAATGTTTTAGTTTGTAATATCCTTATGATGACGACAATAAACTAAACAATAATGTAACGTATGAGGAGTTTTTTGGGAAATTCTGGTTTTTGTACTTATTATAGACAAGAAAAATATTGTTGAGAAAAGCATCAGACTCATCCATCCATCCATTGTTTATACACCGCTTAATCCTCACTAGGGTCGTGGGGAGCTTGAGTCTATCCCAGCTGACTCAGGGTGAAGGCAGGGGACACCCTGGACAAGTCACCAGTCTGTCACAGGGCCACACTTAGAGACAGACAACCAAGCACACTCACATTCACACCTATGGCCAATTTAGAATCACCAATTAACCTCAACATGTTTTTGGAACTTGTGGGAGGAAGCCGGAGAACCTGGAGAGAACATGCAAACTCCACGCAGAAAGATCTCAGGTGTCCTTACTGGGACGTGAACCGGCGACCTTCTTGCTGTGAGGCAACCGTGCTAGCCACTGCTCCACTTTGTAGCCCGCAACAGACTCATTAATAATGAAAATAATCATCAGTTTCTGCTTTACATAGTAGTGTAGCAAGATTAATAAACGTAGTATGAGCTTTACTAATTTTATGAAAATTTGTAAATAAATGTTTTTGTTTTCATTTTGTAGGTGTAAGTGGGGACTAATTGTTGTCACGACTGTCCCCTGCCCTTTACAGCACGCCGAATAGCTGATGTTTAGCCCATGACAGATAGCATTTAGTGTTCATGAACAACTACCTCATTATGCAGAATGCATCTACCTTATCAGTGTAACGCACTGCTCGCCTTGATGCTTTGTTGAAACCATAAACAACCTGCCCGGTACAACCTTGAGACTCTTTTACATCAAATATCAGGCAGCCTTTCATGCCTGTCACAACAACCAATCCCACTGCAATTCTATCTAATCTACTGCCTCCTCCTCTGTTTTCTTTCTGTTCTGCCTTAGGGCAAAATGGCTCTCCTGGCAGCAAATAGCTGTTTCATCTCCTACAGTGACAGTGGGGACATCGTGGCCAAGAGCAAGACAGCGGGGGATGGCGAGATGGTGAAGGTGATGTGTAAATTGTGTTCTTCCACAAGGTTGCATGTTAATCCTTTGATTTTTAAGCATGCCGTCTCTGTGGGGACCTGACTGTTGAGATAGAAGGGGGGAAAATGTTAGTGACCTCACTTCAGGGAGTTCAGGATATTGATATTAAATGCACAATCTCTCTCTCTTTTTGTTTGCTTCTCACCCGAATGACGAGCAGATCCGAACTAGTGCAGAACGAGAGGTCAAGCGTAAGGACGACATTGCAGATGAGGACAGGGGCAACGTGAAGTCCTGCGAGATCAATTACGTGTATGTACCCACAACTGTTTAGCGCTCATTTAATACACCAGCAGCCCAATCAAGAACAAATGAAGGGAAACCGTGTTGGATTCTCTTTGCATATAATGTTATAATTAACTGTCTGTTCTTTCTTGTTAAGTTCTGTTGACTTTATGTGCTGCATTTAATGTGCAGTTTAAGAACCAATCAGAAGTTGCTGTCCTCTCTCTTCCCCCCCCCCATTTATGCATGCATGGTAAAAACAGTGTCCAGAAAAAGCCCTTTGTACATTTTACTGCTGTCAAATGTAACAGCCCCATAATAAGTACATCTTTAGTGGAATTTGCATGTTAAGGTGGATATGATGCTTAAAACGTTGTCACCAGATGAGTTTGAGGTTTTGCGATTGGAGTAGTAGCATAGAAATAACACTATTTAGTAAAATACACAAAAAATATGGTCATTTTCTTAGACTTGCGCTAGTCTTTGTTCTTTCTCTTGCAAATAATTGGCCCTTGAAGTATTTGACTCGAACAAGGGAAATTGTTGTTTGAACTGGTCACCAGTAAAATGAAACTCAGTACCTTTTACCATGTATGTACTATATAATTTTAAAGTGACTGTCATTGAGTTTGGTATTTGAGCGGAAATCTGAAGCTTTTACTCTGTTGTATTTATCAAACAGCCATAGTTATGTTGCAGATGAAGATTTTAGATGCAAAGTTTTTCTGATCACTCTGTATAGTAACTATCTAACTATCTATCTATATGGTGAATCATTAACTCTGATTGGAGACAAACTGGCTGACACTACTTCCTTGTAAAATTCCATGTAGAGTTAGCTTGTAGTTGGTGACATTTGACTTTTAAGCTGTCACATTGTGCCAGTAATTACGCTCTATGTTTCACAACAGTTTGACATTGTACAGTTTAAGCAGGACACCTTGCAGCTTCCTTTAACATTTCTGTTAAAGCACTTTATTCTGATAGAACGGAAAAACAGCGATTTCCTTCCCATTATTTTCACATTGTGTCAGTCTGCACTGACAAGATTTTGACAACAAAATCACATGCCTGGATGGGAGATAACATCTTTAGGCATCCGCCTCATCAATCCCATGCCTTAAAGGTGCAATTGATGGTCTGCTGTTAGAGTGTGATGAGAAAGCAGGCAACACCACATTTTAGCTCTCTGTGCGGCAAGTATTTTATATATGGCCTGTCTGCAGCCTATTAAGTTCCAAGCGATATGTCTAAAGCTGTTTTTTGCTTGGCATGCTTTGGCTTCTGTTCCCACTCTATTATTTGTTTTAGATGAATGCTTGGGAAATGGACTCATCATGCTGACATGTTGATAATGGCTGCCCTTGAGCCTGTGTCTTGATGTAGTGTTTAGCATCTGAATTGCCTTTGAGGATGAAGTGCAGCTCAGGAATCATAAAATACAGACAGAGAGAAGAAAAAAAATACATTTCTAAGAAGTTTTCAACAAGGTGCTTAGGTTGTTTTTGGCACTGTTGTGTAGGATATTATTTTTTTAATTTCTTTTTTTTGTTCAAATGATTTTAAAGTATTGATGGCACTTTATTCAGTACAGTGGTCCCTTGACAACATTTCTGGCAACACTTATTCAGATAGCTGTCACAATTTAGGAAGGCCGTTTAATTAGTAAAAAGGGAATTTTCGCTATCCCCAATAAAATGTCCTTACTTGGCCTAATAGTGAAATGATAGCACAATGCAATGCGTTTAAATTATTCACTTTGTATTTTTATGCTAAAGTCATTGAAATTCTTTTTTTCCCAATACCCCACAATGACAAAGCGTAAATAGAATTTTAGAAATGTTTGCATATTTGTTATAAAGTGAAAACTTAAATATCATACTGACATGACATTCCAGACCCTTTGCTATGACACGTGGCATTTAGTTCAGGCACCTTTCATGTCTCCTGATCATCTCTCAGATGTTTTAACTCCCCTTCCACACTCTGTACAGCAGATTGACCAGATGGAACGGAGCAAAGTACTGAGATATCCTTAATGGAAGCTTACTCCAGAGTACTCAGAACCTCAAATTGGGCTGAAGGTTTATCTTCCAGCAAAATAATGACCCCAAACCAGACAGCCAAGACAACAACTCTTGGGACAACTCTGTGAATGTCCTTGAGTGGCACAGCCACAACAACCCTGACTTTAAACCAATCGAACACCTCTCAAAAAACCTGAAAGTGGAAGTCAGCCAACAGAGCAGTGAGCACTGACAGAAAATCCCCAAATCCAGGTGTGCAAAGCCTGTCGTGTCATACCCAAGAAGACTTCAGGCGGCATTTGCTGCCAAAGGTGCTTCAACTAAGGACTGAGTCAAGGATCTGAATAGTTATGTCAGTGTGATTTTTACATATGAATACATCTGCAATCATTTCTAACATTCAGTTTAAATTTTGACATCACAGAGTATTGAATGTAGATTGATGAGGGAGAGAAATTAATTTCAAAGATTTTAGCATGTGGCTAACACTGCATGTAAAATAGTGAGGAAGTCTAAATACTTTCTGAATGCATTATACATGTTGACTTGTAGCAGGCTTAAGTACTCAGCCTTTTGCTATTTAGCCAACAACTGTCAACATTTTAATACTTTAGTTAATACTTGGGTGCACTTTATAAGATTTAGCTGCTTAGAGCCTTGGTGTCAGTTCTCAAAAAAGGGTAAGTTGTGAAAATGTCTGTAATTTTAAGTGTGTGTTTGGGTGTGTGTGTGTATGTCAGCTAGGGCAGTGAGTCATTTGCCTTTGCATATCCTTTTGTAATCGTCACATTGTTGTTGCTTTATGAATTACAGGAAGAAGTTTCAGAGTTTTCAAGATCGGCGGCTCAGGGTTAATGAGGACGACCCCAACTCGCTGAAGAAAGCCAGAACGGATGGAAAATTCCACGAAGCTTTGCTTGACAGGTGTGAAAATAAGCTCATTATAAACTCACTGAGAAACACTTTTATGCAAAAAGTTATTATGTTGAAACTGCTTGTGGAGTGTTTTCACTCAAAGGAATCCACTCAAATTTCTGCTAAATTTCATTTTATCAACGACTATCTGTATATTCACACACTGTATAATTCAAAGCCAGTACTTGGATGACATTCACGATCAGCTTTATTGTATTCAGAATCCAATTTGCACCTGCTGTTTATGAGCAGTATGTTGCATTAACCTCCAGTGACAGTTTTTTCCAGTGTGTATTCAGAATAAGATAATAAGATGATTTTATAAGCTAAAGTTCTATCGTAATACAATATTTATAATGTAAATATGAGAAGAAAGTTCCAATTAAGAAAGCTTGTTGAAAACGTATAGCTACAACTGGAAGATAATTACAAACAGTGAAGTATTTACATATTTGTAAATTGTATGTTTTTGCTAATGTAATTATTTTCCTAACATCCTTCCGACATTAAAATATATTGGAGTAATTTCTACTCATTCCACACAAGTGTTAAATAAAAGCAGAACAGTCACACTGCAAAGCCACAGTTAATTTTCTGTTTCTGTTATCTGAAATGTGTCAGAAGAATAGAATTAGATGTATTTTATCCTGTGAAAGCAAACAGGTATTTCAGGTAGTCTCACGTTGTCGTTATAATAAATGGAGACTTATTTTCACATTATCCTCCTCGCTGTAACAACAAGCAGGGTATCTGACGATTTATGCATGCTATCATGTCTCACACCTGTCAAACAAAGCTGCACCGCCCAGTTAATTTAAATAAAAATGATCCGTTCTTTACACCAAGAGAGTGAAACACATTATTTCTAAAAAAGTCACAGTTTGTTTATGGTTGGTTTTAATTTCAAAATGACTTTATGTGGGACACTGACACTGAGTTTATCATAAAATAACAAAACAGAACAGATAGCCAGCTGATAGCACTGACCAACTGAAAGACTGAATGTAACCTGTTGTTTTGTTTTTCATTACAGGAGAAGCAAAATGAAAGCAGACAGGTACTGCAAATGAGGACTGTGTGGACTGCTGCTATGTCTTAGTAAATGTTCTGACGTGGCATTTCAAGTTTCGTGTTTTTTGGAAGTTTTTTTTGTATTTTAAATAAACATTTGATGGTCAAAGTCAGTTTTGCGAGTTTGTTTTTATTTGCTGCAGCCGATTCATATTGACCTTTGTGTTGACTTTTATGAATTTCAGGTGACCCAGTTCCAAGTTTATTGTCAATAATTAACCATGACTACACTTTACTCTTAAGGAACTGTTTGTTGGAACACTGGAGTTCATAGGATGCAGTGTGTTTTTAGAATGTCTCTCCTACAGTTTGTAGTAATTATGGTCAATAAGATGTTACCTACACTCTTGAGGGGGGAAAATGCAAACGTGTATAAAGACATCCAAAGACAGAATATAAGAATACAAATAGTAAATAGCAGTGGTGCAGAGAGAGCAGTGATGTTTACGGCCACTGAGCAATGCTTACAATTAGAAACAAAGGCAGAATTCAAGACACTATGACTGACAATCATGACTGTCATTCTATTGGTGGTAATTTAGATTGAGTATTAGTTTTTTTGTAGCCTAAGCCTTAATATTTCATATATTTCAAGTCACTGAACATATATGTAGGTCTGCATCGTATCATTTATCATTGTGTGGTTATTAATTGGGCTAAGTTCCTGTAAGCTTAATTTTTTGGACTGATAATAGTAAATGAAGTCAGATAATATGGCAGCTTACCAGATAGTCAGTGGTAAAAGCCTGGCTTTTTCATTGGGTCATTGTTAGAGGTACTCCAGTTAAGTAGCAATACACTGTTAGCGTGACAGTTTCCCAGCATACGTTTCTAGTCAGTAAGCTTTAACAATGTTGAATTTGCTTTACACAATCAAAGTAACTGAAAGTAAGTCAGACTAACTGAAATAAGCCTGACTTCCATCCATCCATTATCTATACACCGTTTAATCCTCATTAGGGCCGTGGGGGGCTGGAGCCTATCCCAGCCGACTTAGGACGAAGGCAGGGGACACCCTGGACAGGTCACCAGTCTATCACAGGGCTTAAGCCTGACTTAATAAGCTCAATTTATGGATCCGGCCCCAGGAAGAGTCACAAAGCGAATGCAAAACATGTGAAAGATACACACTTAACTACACAAAAAAATGACTATTAATGGCATAGCTGCATTGTTTTTTGTCTGTTTCAGTCTGGAGATCTGATTTGTCTGTGGGAGGGGTGGGGAGCCTTTTCCATGTTTGTACCCAGGGGCCATTTGTTTCACAATCTGTCCACGCTGTGGCCACAACGTGTAACTTGTATTATTCTACTGATATTAAACCAAATGTAAAGATACTCAGTGCAGCAAAACATCGCTTATCAACCATATTTAGCCACTATTTAAACAGAAAGAGCAAGTGTCACATGAGGAAAAAAACTCAATCAACCACATGAGTGCGCTTGTCGTTTATTCTCACTTCCGTATGGAAACAACCACTGGCCTGGCACTGGGGGGGTGTTCTGTGTAACATTGGTCATTATTTCATTAGAGTCTGACGTTGCTATACCAAATAAATGAAACTGAATTGTTCATTTTTTAAATTGCGAAGGATCGTGTGATTTACATCTTTATTATTTGTAAATAAAATGTGTAGTATCTTTATGAGAACTTATTGTTTCCCCCCTCGGGTGAAAAAGTGAGCTCACCGTCACGAGGTAAACAGTAGCAGCTTCCGCATCAAACTTAACAACAAACCGGACGAGCAGCAGTCTGTCTGTGCTCCAGCAAAATGGGTCGCTGTGTTTTTCTCATTTTGGCGGCTTTATTCTCCGTCACATTGGCACAGTTTATACCACCGGTGAGACACATTTCTGCCTTATCGTCTTGCGGTTTAACACACTGTGTAGTCAAAACTTGAGCGTGTTGTTTAACTTCCTTGTGTTGTGTTGGTAGTTTCACCCTGAAGTCACACAGTGTGCTTCCACTCGGTTATTTACTGCTTTAACTTTGATCTACTTGCAGTACACAGAGGACTGTCGGACAGAAATGTATCCACCAAAAGGTCCCACGTAAGTAACATTAGTCTGTAACTAAGCAGGAAAGAAATATGACAACTAACAGTTACACAAACTGTGCTCAGTTCGTTAGCTGAGTCACAGCTGGGTTTTATAACACCTGCTGCCTTCAGCTGCCCCTCGTAAAAGCTATCATCCATGTTCACAGAATGCCGGTAGTAACTTGTGTGTTTGGTTGTAGCTGTGTTTTTTTTCATATTTGGTTTGTTGTAAGCTGTTTATTTTGGACTCTACATGTTGTGTTGCTAGCATTGTAGCTGCACAGCAAAGATGTGAACATACACATTTAAATATGGCTCATGAAGTTGCACTGACTAGTTAACAGGACGTTTGATCAGTTTCTACTAATAGGATCCGTTTACTGATGTGTCGTTCAAGTACTTCTGCAAAACCAGTTCTGTTAATGTCTCCTGTGACTCCTGAGCACTGATTTCAGATGTCAAGATGTGTTGCTCTTTCTGCTTTTATGTCAGTGCGGTTTGACAACTGGGTCAACTCAACCACTTGTAGGGCTTTTTTATTTTATTTTACTACTGGTTATAGTCATATACTACCAGTTATTGTGAAGCACATTTACAGATTTGTTTCAAATGGCTGTAGCTAGTTGTTACCCCATTGTGCATTAGGACAACAGATATGTATAGGAGACCCTGCATTTCAAACTCAGTGCACAGAGTTTGAAAAAATGTCAAGCTGAACGATCTGATAAAAATAAAAATCATAGTGCAATGTTGCGATCGCAATATCATTAACAACTTAAGCGGGAAATGGTCATTTTGGGAAAAAGAAAAAAAAAATAGATCATATTTTTTGCTGCAGTCTGTACCAAACAAGAACACGCCTTTACATGTGTAGAATGTGATTTACAGGCCACCACAGTGCTTTATTTATAATCCCACTTCTCCACATTGTGATTTTGCTAATATTTTAAATAACTGTTCAGCTCCAGTCCCAAGCAGGGGGAATGTAGCAAAGACATTCAGTTGGCTTGCAGGTGAAGTATATTTTTCAATATCCTGTCTGTTGCAAGTCCACCAAATGTGGAAGAGCTCTCCCTAAACTAGTCAGATTAGATGATTGCATTTCCTGTAGGTTAAGTTGTTTCTGTTCTTGTTTCTCCTCAGCAAAAAAAAAAAAGAAGCAAAAACAGGAGTGCTGTGTGTAATGGAGGCACCAGATGCTTAATGGTTTATTCGTGTCGTACATTTTGTTAATCAAATATAAACAACAAATCAAACTGATAGATATTTTAAGGAGCTTTTTACAAGGTGGTGATCATCTTTCCTTTTCTACAGTAGCTTTTCTTTTTTTATTGCATTAAGGACTTTACATTTCCAACAACAGTTCAAGACAGCATATTTTTATGTAGGTTGATCTAATAATGGGATAGTTTCAAAGGAAAACTAATATGAATGCATTTGGTGGCAGGGTGAAACAGACAAAAGCACCAAAATGTCATACTTGAGTATTTTGTTCACTGATTATTTGTCACTCACTTGACATGGACTTTTTATCTCTGCATCAAAATATGATTCTCGTGAAGTGACTCTGCATGGCCTCAGTTGCTGCATTCGAAATACAAATACACTACATTCAAAGTGTAAATGGAATGTCACCATTTAGAGCAGCACACTTGGGGAATATTTACATCTTTTTCGTCTCTAATCAGGTTCAGAGGAGCTGTCGGTTGGTACACAGTGGACCTCGACTTACCGCCCAGCAAGAGATGGACGGCTCTGATTACTGACAAAAAAACTGAGGTAAGAAGCCTCAAAATAACATGTCCAAATCTCTCAGGAATCCCACGTTGTTTACTCGTGCTCTTCTTCTTTTCAGCTGGTCAACATGATTCAAGCCATTAAAGACTTGGCTAATGCTTTCGTTCCCAGTGGAAGGCTGATTGAACTCGTAGACATCACACTAGTGAGCTCCATTTTCTTCTCTGAACTATGTTTCCCTTTTATCAACCGATGTATTTGTATTGTCTAAGAGGTTTTATAAGTGCTGTATGTTTCATTGTGTTCTGTAGCCTTTAATGGTGGACACACTTCCAAGCCCGTTCAATGATGAAATCAAAGGAATTGCAGATGCTTCGGGGATTCATCTTGGTAAAAATACAACAAAAACAAATGCACTCAACTCTCCAGTTAGCAAAAAGAAAAGCCCCTTTGACCTCTGCCCATTGTTTTCTTCATTTCTATACTTCAGGTGAAGTCGTCTTGTTTAACATCTTCTACGAGGTGTTCACTGTGTGCACATCAGTTGTTGCCGAGGACAACAAGGGTGAGTTAACGGAATATAGTTTTGTTTAAAATCTGTGAAACGATTCAAGAAATGTTAAAATGTATTTGTGCTCTTGTAGGTAACCTCTTTCATGGCAGGAATTTGGACTTTGGCTTATTTTTGGGGTAAGAGCATCACAGTTTGTAAGTGTGAACTTTTTGAGTTAAGTCTCAGCTCAGATTGCTAAAAGAAGTGGTGCCTCTTCACAGCTGGGATGTGAAAAACAAGTCATGGTCCATTAGTGAGAAGCTGAAGCCGCTAGTGGTCAACCTCGACTTCAAGAGAAACAACCGGACGGTCTTCAAGTCTACAAACTTTGCCGGATATGTGGGCATGCTGACCGGCATCAAGCCTGTAAGTCAGTTTGTAGCATGAACAAAGACTCAGCATAAAACATTCTTTCATTTTTGAGTTGTGTATTTGCTGCTGGTTTAGACGTCAGAAAGATGTTTCTACTTTGTCTTCCAGCACGTTTTCACTCTGACTATGAACGAACGCTTCAGCCTCGACGGAGGATACATTGGTGAGTAATAAGTGTTTTGTTTTTTTTCAGCTTGTACACACAATATAGATATTTCAGGTATTATTCTGTGAGTCCTGTGTCACTGTGTTTATCTGTATTGATGCAGGAATTCTTGAATGGATCTTTGGACAGAGAGACGGGATGTGGATGAGCTTTCTCACTCGCTCTGTGCTGGAAAATGCAAACAGGTATCCCTCTTTGATATTTAAACTACACTGTGGCGTTTGTTGCCACTGATGAGGAGCAGTGATATAAAAGCCCAATTGCTGTCTCCACCCTAATGTCTATACATTTTTATTAAACTACCAAATGTCTGGAAAGCCATCAGCATCTGTAATGTGGTTGTTTGACTGGAAATATGAATAGCTCTTAAAACTTCTCATAAATAACCACTACAGCAAGCAGCCAGATACAATCACAGTGTTGCAGTCAGGTGGGTTTCTTCCAATCATGGTTTGTGTAGAGCAGGGGTGTCAAACTCCGGTCCTCGAGGGCCGCAATCCTGCATGTTTTAGATGTTTCCCTCTTCCAACACACCTGATTCAAATGATCAGCTCATCATCGAGCTCTGCAGAAGCCTGATAACGATCCTGATCATTTGAATCAGGTGTGTTGGAAGAGGGAAACGTCTAAAACATGCAGGATTGCGGCCCTTGAGGACCGGATTTCGACACTCCTGGTGTAGAGTTTGTACAGGACCAGTCAATTGCATATAGACCTCACAGATTACATTATGAGCTATGGGCAAGTCATTCAGGAAAGTGTGTAGATTTGCCCTCATGCATTTGATGCATCTTCCTGAGTCCTCACACATTTGTGGGGATTGTGGAGGTTGAAATTGGTGCCTTTTATCCAGGATAGCAATGTACAACTATGTCTGGTGGCAGTAAACGTGCTGTACAACGTTGCAATGCACCCGTAAAAGCAAAGACAAAAGTAGATTAAAGTACATTAAGACTTTGCAAGTGTTTTTTTTTTTTTTTTTATTAGGTACAAAATACATGAAGTGTTTGTTTTGTCTGAAGGTTTTAGATGATGCAATTTGCTGAGACACCAAATTTTTATTGCAGTGAAATCTCCAGGGCTACCTTTAGCGCCATGGAAAGTAAAATGCCTTGATCAATTTCAAGATGAGGCAAGTATATTTGTATAGTACCTTAAAAAAAAAACAAGGCAGTGCAGATGCTTGACATAAGCCATAAAAAGGTATTAGGATGTAGAAGAAAGCAATATAGACAAAGCCCAAAAATTCAATGTAAAAGGAGTAAAATAAAATAGATGAGCCAATAAAGAAAACAGTTTAGTGGGGAAGATAAAAACTTCAGTGCAATTCAAGACCAGACTAAGTAAGTACGTTTTCAGCTTTGATTTAAAAGAAAAAAGAGGTGACTTCAGGTTTTCTGACAGCTTGTTCCAGACTTGTGGTTCATAAAAACTGAATGCTGTCTCTCTGTCACATGATAAGGTTTCTGTCAAAACAATGAGTCTGATTCTACTCCCACTAGCTATGAGGAAGCCAAAAGTCGGCTGGCTCAGACCAAGATGCTCGCTCCAGCCTACTTCATCCTGGGAGGGAACAGCACAGGGCAGGGCTGCATCATCACCAGGTCCAGGCTGCTCAGCATTGATGTCTTGGAGTAAGTACTGCAGTTTAGTTTTACAGCATTTATTGTACACTATGGAGAATGTTTGCATTTCTGGATAAAACGATGAGATTCTGTGTGTCTTGGCTGGTAAAAGCTAAATCACAATCAAAATGAACTGATTTGTAAAGACATCTTTCTAAAAGTCACTGCGTTCGTCATGTTCAACTTGTGAAACAATTGCTCAACCAGGAACTGATGACAGCTTTGGCTTCAGATCACCTGATGTATCTATTTTAAGCAGCTGCTCAGTTCAGCTGCATGTCACGTACTGAGGTTGCTGTTCCCTTATTGTACGTCAGGATCGACCTGAAGCTGGGCCGGTGGTACGTCCTGGAGACAAACTACGACCACTGGAAGGAGCCTTTGTTCCTGGATGATCGCAGGACTCCTGCCATGAAGTGTATGAACCAGACCACACAGGCAGTGAGTACTGACGACACTCCCTTCCTGTCCAGAAGTGAACAAATTTCTCTCTGAATAAAGCTTAGTCATGACAGTCATGTGATTTTAAGGTCTTAAGTCCAGGCCTGACAAGTTACATTTCTGTTTTATCAAAGCCTTAAGACACCTTTGATCTGTCGTTTCTTTTTTAGAGCATCTCACTGAAGACCATGTATGATGTGCTCTCAACCAAACCGGTGTTAAATAAGGTGAGCTGCTTTTTTTCATCACAGTCTGCATTTATAGATTAAAAGCTGGTTTAATTTAATATATGTATTTATTTTTACGGTGTCTTTTCAGTTGACCACATACACAACACTCATGCAAGTATCTGAAGGCAAACTGGAGTCATATATCCGGGACTGTCCAAACCCATGCATGCCCTGGTGATCCTCCAGACACTGATCACTTTGGGAAGGCTCATCTACACGGAGAAAAGCTCAGCTGATGTTGAGAGAAAAAAATCAAAGCTTTAAGTTTTTGCACAGCAACTCATCACCTGAACTGATGTTTGTAACAGTGATGTCATTTTGACATTTGTTTTGTTCTGTAGACAATTTAGGAATCCTTTGACAATACTAAATCCTACTTTATGTGTTAAGAGGGAAATTGGCACAAAAGTAAATCAAACCTCCAAATGTTTTCCCTCTGTTATTATACTGTAATTATATTTGTAATATTTGAGGGCTGAGTCTATCAGTGGATCTAACTGTGGGCTTAGGGACCCCCAAGATAAATGCTAATATGTATATAATTCAATTAATGCAAAATATTGTTGTTCTATGTCATGTTTCTCAAGTCCAATTCACTGAAACAGTGAGGAAATGTGTTATGATAACAGTTTATTTATGGGTACTGACCACATGACTATTGACCATTTCACACACTGACCAATGTACATCATTGCAAACCAACTCCTTTTTCACTTTTTTGAATTGTAGTTAATAAAAAGGATCCCAAAGCGGAGGTTTACTTGTTTTTATAATAATAATAGTTTTCATGAATGATTAAGGGTTGCACGGTGGTTCAGTGGTTAGCACCGTCGGCTCGCAGCTAGAAGTTTGCATGTTCTCCCCGTGCAGCGTGGGTTCTCTCTGGGTTTTCCAGCTTCCTCCCACAGTCCAAAAACATACTGAGGTTAATAGGTGATCATAAATTGTCCATAGGTGTGAATGTGAGTGCGCTTGGTTGTCTGTCTCTAAGTGTGGCCCTGTGATAGACTGGTGACCTGTCCAGGGTGTCCCCTGCCTTCACCCTGAATCAGCTGGGATAGACTCCAGCCCCCCGCGACCCTAGTGAGGATTAAGTGGATAATATGCTATATAGATAATAATATATATAGATAATGGATAAAAGATTAATCTGCTATTTTTCCAATGAACTGATTGTTTTGTCAATAAAATGCCACTGAAAGGAATTCAGTCTATTCTCAAACAAGACAAAGAAAAGCAAAAAATCTTCACAATTGAGAAGCTTAAGCAAGGTGATGTTTGAGTCATATGTTGTGCAAAAATAACAAACTAACTTTTAAAAAAAAACTGTTACATCATATTTCCTGTGCGAGTTTACACGTTCTCCTTGTGCAGTGTGGGTTCTCCGGCTTCCTCCCGAAGTCCAAAAACATGTTGAGGTTAACTGATGATTCTAAATTGTCCGTAGGTGTGAATGTGAGTGTGCTTTAGCCCTGTGATAGACTGGTGACCTGTCCAGGGTGTCCCCTGCCTTCACCCTAAGTCAGCTAGGATAGACTCCAGCCCTCCGCGACCCTAGTGAGGATTAAGCGGAGTATAGATAATGGATAGATATTTCCTGTCCGTTGACTAATTGTTTCAGTCTTCTACTGTCAGCAGTTAAAACATTTAGCAGTACAGTATATTTTAGGCTGCGATCTACTGGAAGAGTAAAGCACTACATCATTAGTAAAGCAACATGTAACTACATGACAACGCCACCATTTTTGAAAGCCTTTTATTAATTAAAAGTCATTACTGTAGTCAACATTTTAATTACATGAAAATCATGGGAGACTAACCATTAACAGAACATAACAGTATATAAAGATGTGTCTGAAGGGATAAAAGGTAAGTCTGAGCCCGAGGCTCTGATTTAAAGGAAAGTGTTCAAGCAGGAAAAACAATTAGCCTAAGTCAGCCAGGCTACAGCTGAACTTTCATCCTACTGTAATCTCTTTATAATTAGGAATCAAGTGCAGAAAAGATGAGCTGTACAACAATAAGGCCAGGCCAAGACAAATAAAATGTTTAAAAAAAAAAAACAACTCATGTCAAACTGATCCCAGAACCAAGAAGAAGAAGACTAAGGCGGATCTGAACAAGAGTTTCAGTACTACAAAGATTCAAACAGAGGCTTAACTGTAGGTGATCAGCAGCATAGAGAGAACCCCCACCCCCAGATTATTCAGAAATCACATTTAACATTCAGGAATAAAATGAACTAAAAGTGTTGATTATGTGTGGAATCTGTTGTGTGTGTGTGTGTGGGATAGAGTCACACAGAGCTTATTTGCGACTAATATTATGAAACTTTGCTCCTTTAAAGTAACAGATTAACATTCATACATCCAGAACAGATTCAGTGTGTAAGTATAGCGTTGCTAAAAACAGCAGACTTTGGGACGTCCGTATAATTCGTTACACGTTCGGAGCGCCGACAGTTTCTGGAAAAAGAAGAGAAGAACACAGCGTTTACTCCGACAAAGCCGAGCTATTTGTTTATGTATAGATACACTAGCTGCTAAGCCCTGTATGGATGTATACACGGTAACGAGACACAGTGGCTTTGCTTTTGTAGGCCGCCTGTCGGTTAAGATTACTGTTTTGTTTGTGGAGATGTCAAGGATTGTAATCTGTACCTGGTTCCTTCAGTGCCTGTGCGTTTCCCACCAGCCCAGTCAGCAATTCAGTGTTCCCATTGAGAATCTCCACAGACAGGTTGTTATTCTGCTGCTCCTCCACAATTCTCTTCTGAAGCTCCTCCTGATGTTACAGCACACAGTGTATCATTAGACAAAAAAAAAAAAGGGGGGGATTTCGCACCACAACTGCAGTTTAGGTTGTTCAACATGGCAAATTCTAAGAACACAAACATTATGTGTAGTTAATGTAACTTGTTAGCTGTTACACACCTCACACATGACTGTAAGCTGCAGCGGTAAGTCGTCCACCTTCACAAAGTCTTCCTCATCTGACTTTTGGCTCGTGTTACCTGATCCCACCTCCTGCGTGAGCAACGTTAATAAAAATCAGTGCAACAATAAAACAGAGGTAAAACAAGTATCGTGACAATGAAAGTAGCATCTTCACACTTACGTCTACACTGATCATGACCGGTGAGTCTGTGTCAGGGCTGCTGCTGGCTGTTGGCTCCTTGGGGACGTCCTGATCGTGGGAGATTTCATCTAAGGCGGCAGCTTCCCCGACTTTACCGTCCTCTTCGTCAGGGCTCTGGCACTCCACCCTGCCGGGCTCCTCTGCCGTGGCATCCGCAGTCCCAACTGACTTGCTGGTTTCTGCAAGACAAAGACAAAAGTTTCGAATAAAAGGTTAAACGAGGGAAATTATAAGAT